CCAGTTTTAATTTCTTTATTTGTTTATTTACTTGCCATTATTTTTAAAAATTTCTTCGCTTTCATCCATTTTTTTGCGTATCCAGAGGGCAAAGACGTCCCTGCGGTCCCCCTCACCCTCCATCTAGACACTGCACCGCTTCAGGCACTCACCCAACCTCAGCTTTGCCTTCCAGCATCCAAAAAATCCCTACTTTTCTCATGTTTTTAAAATGAAAAGACGTAACCTTGTACCTCAGAAAAAATGTTTTCTATTTTTTCTGTGCTTGAGCACATAACACTCAGTGAGGACGTGGGGAAGACCCTCGGAGCAGCTGTCCCTGCACATCTCAGGTGGTGAAATAAACTCATCCTGGGGCAGCTTGTGCCAGCCAGGACAGTGCATGGTTCCTGTTTCCATCCTGGAATGCTGATTTTCTCCCATTTTCCATCAGCGGAGCTATTAGGGAGTGGAAGCTACAGACGGAAAACAACCCCTTCCCTGTGTTGTCATTACAGCTTAAAAAAACTTGTGTGTCTGCTAAAACTTCTGCTTAGAAATAGTAGTATTAAAACTCTTGAAATCAAGTTCCTCTTGTATCTTCATCCCTTCCAGTTGAACAGGGTTTGTGCAACACTTGATAAATCCAAAGCTTGGGTTTTCCTGGCTGAAATTAGAATATAGGGAGCTATATTTGAATTTCTCTGATTTTGTGTTTTTCCTCATTTCTAGTTGAGCACTTTACACCTGAAGGATGAAAAAACCAAACCAGATGCCAATGGTGAGTTCCAGCGGCTCAGATGGGCTCGGAAAGGGGGGAATGTTTCCCTGTGGGGGTTCAGAGCACTGCCAAAGTAAATTCCTGATAAATCATGAGATGCCAGAAGAGCTGAGATTAGGCAGCAGAACGGACTAAATATTTTGGTGTCTCAGGGAGTTGTGTGAGCAAAATCCAATGGTGTGGTTGCTAAACTGCACTTGGAGCTGATGTTTGGGGTTTTTCTGCACAGCAGTGCAGCAGGGCAGTTTTCCTCAGGGGAATGAGCTGGTTTGTAGCTTTTCCAAGGATATTCCAAAGCTCTGGGGGTGTGGGCTGCTCCTGAGGCCTGAGCTCACCCGTGCCCCCCGTAACTGTTCCAATTCAGGTGCCGTTGTCAAGGCAGATGACAATGTGGAGAAGACGGAGGATGAGGAGAAGGGTAAGTGCCTTCCTGAAAAAAGCTTTGGCAAGGCAATTAATTTCATTTAATTATCATTATATTGATTGAATATATACTTAAAGTAAGTCTGCCTTATGTCTCAGGACCGCTGATCTTGTATCCGGCCCCAAGGACTTAATTGTAAGACATGTCCTTCCTCCATAACACTTTTAAAGGCATTGTGTCCTGTAATAACTTGGGAGACTCCTGGATTAGAGTGGAGAGAAATAAGGGGATAGCAGTATCCTCAAGGCAGGACTGGATACAGGAGCAGTTGGATAACCTGGAGCTGGGATTGCTGTAGCAACCAACAAGTTGCGTTTATGCAGTGGCTGCTCAGAGGTGGGTAAAGGCTCACATTCTTTCAGAGGGTGGTTTTAGGAAACAGATTTAGTAGCAAAACCCCAAAGTGCAGCAGTTTAACCTCGTTTGGATCTCCCTTATCCTCAGCCCTTGTGTTTCAGCTCTGATATCTTTAAAACTACCATTTATCCTCAAACCTTCCTTAAAAATAAAACCTTAGGAGGTGTCTGCCCACATGTCAGAGTGAGGGTTGAGGAGGCCTGACCCTGTCCCAAGTAGATGCCAAGCTAAAATAATCTTAATAAGCAGAGATCTGGATCTGTTAAAGTCCCCCTCAGAATAAAGCTCATTTGATTTGTCTCCCTGGGTATTAAATGGGGCAGTCTCTGGGATCTCTCGATGTCTCATCCAAGAGATTTGGGCTCTTCAAGCCATTACACTCTAATGAACAATTTCAGTATTTGGAGGGATTTTGTCCCTTTTAAGTGGCTCAGTTCAGTGGGAGCAAGACCTGGAACAGGCTGTGACTGATGGATTTATGTTTTCCACCTCCTTTCCCAGAGGACAGAGCTGCCCAGTCCTTACTGAACAAGCTGATCCGCAGTAACCTGGTTGACACCACAAATCAAGTGGAGGTGCTGCAGAGGGACCCCACATCACCCCTCTACTCTGTCAAGTCTTTCGAGGAGCTGCGCCTGTAAGTACCTGCTGGGATGAGCCAGAGGCTTCTCTGCATGGAGCTCTTAAATCCTGGGATCAGATATATTAAATAGCCTCCCTTATAACTGGATTTTTCAGTTTGTCATGGGGACAAACTCGGGGAGAGAGTAGTTCTGTTATAACTGCCAGAGCAGATGTGAGTTTGGAGCCCATCAGGTAGCTGGAGCCTTTCCTCATGTCCTAAAAAATTCCCTGGTGGCATAGGAGATACCCCTTAAAAGCACATGGGTTTGTGTTTCAGGTTACTGCCAACATGTCATTAACAAGTGAGTGTATCATTTTTATTATTTAAATGCAAGGAGAGTTGGTTTATCTGGGTGCCTGGTGGGGGTTTTCATCCAAAAAAACAGCAGTGAAAAACAGAGGGAACAGCTTATCTTTTCCAGCAATACTGGATTTATGTACTGGAGAGACCAGTATTTTCTGACTTCCCTCCCATTGAAAACTTCTACCTGTGCAGCTTTCAAGGGATGATAACTGTGTTTAAGGCAAGGTTGATGGATATATGTATTATTATGCTGAAGAGTGCGTCCTGTTGGGATTGTCATGCTTGCACTGATCTCAGGTTTGTTGCTCTACAAGCTCCACAGGAAAACAGGAGCTAAAGAGCCTTCTCCCCATGAAATGCCAGGATGTTTTGCTTTTTAGTGTTTGTGGTTGAATGTCTACAAAAAGAAGCTGCGGTCCTGCAGTGCCTGTTAGACTAATTCATTCCTGTGTTTCAAAAGGCAAACAATCCCAGGGAGTTAATGACAGGGACAGCCAGCCTAATTGAGTCTTCATTTTGTTACGACTCGGGGTATCCTTGGTAACTGGTGCAGAGTTGGGCTTTGTCTGTCCTTGCTTGGAGCAGAACAAGGTTACATTTTCAAAGAGCTTTTGTTCCAGCCATCGTTGGAAAGTAATACAGGATTTTGGCAAAAGCATGTTGTGCTGAATGGGAAGTTACTGCAGTGGGAAGTGTGGGCAGGAGACCTGTAACCTTTGAAAGGAGAGCCCTTCTGAGAGCACTCACAGCATCCAGGCAGCACTTGGGGGCCATCAGCTGAGAATTTCCAGCACCATAACCCAGATTTAGGTTGTTCTGGGGTCTCCTTGTCTACACAAGTGTCTGCTGAGAGTAGAAAGCTCCCTTGAGAGAAAGCAGCAGATCAGTTTGCTGGCCAGCAGTGTCACCACGCAGTTCTGGGTGTGAGGGCTGGCTTGCAGCCAGGGATCACAAGGTGTAGTCACAGCAAACTGAGCTGATTATCAGTCATTTACCTGAGCCAGCACCGCTCAGCTGAATTACAGAATCCACACCACTTCTGAAGTCCTTGCAAGGATCTCATGATCCCTTCGTCCTGTTCCTCACACTTTGTCCCACGTTTGAGTCATCAAGGAGTGATCATTTTGGCACAAAGATTAGGCATGGCTGAGGAAATGGGACTGGCCTGAAAGACAGGATTTTTGTGCTCTGTGGTTCCTGCATTGTCTGAAAAGCTGCTTTGGAAAAAGCACAGGTTAGACACAGGTTTTGCCCTCGAGCTGGAACAGGTAGGGTGACTTTTTAAATCCAGGAGTTTTTGGAAAACTTCCTGTCCAGACTTCCTGCTGTCCTTCATGGTTCCAGATGCTGACCATAGTTGTTTCACAGGTGGGATTGTAACAGGGACAGCTCTAGGATGTCTTCTTGAGGGTTTTTCTCACATTTTTCTACACAAATGAAAACTAAATGGATTTAAATAGGTCACGATAAAAATTTTTTTCTTTTCAGGAAACCACAGCTCCTGCAAGGAGTCTATGCCATGGGCTTCAACAGACCATCTAAGATCCAAGAGAATGCCCTGCCCATGATGCTTGCTGAACCGTATGTACACCTTCTTCCTACTCTCTACCAGAATAGAAGGATTTGAAAGGTTCAATGTGCTGCTCCTGAGTTTTGGATGGGAGGAGGGTGATGGGGAAACTGTCAGGGAGTGGAGAAAGGGTGCCTGTGTCACAGTGTTGCTGTGGTTATTAACTATGTGACAGCAGCCATGGATTAGTCTTTCCTAGGGCTGGTACTGAGCATGTGATGCTGTGGGGTTTGGGAGGTCATTGCCATTTTCCTCATTCATTTGGGAAGAAATAATAGGAAATGGCTCAGAAATCCTGAGTGGGTACAAGTAACTTAGGTGCTGATTTTCTTCTCCACAACCCTGAGCTGGAACGTGTGAGGTACTGGGACACTGGGGAAGATGTGTGAGATGGAAAATTACTGAGAGATAACCACAGTTCTCCTTCCAAATCTCCGTAACTGAGAAATGCTGAAGGGGAGTGTTGGGCAGGAAGTAATTCCTGCCCCATGGGGCGTAGCTGGTCAGGCTGGCCATGGATCCAGAGCAGGGGTAAATGTGACAGGATTCAGATGCCACCATGGTGCTCCACGCTCTGAGCTGTGCCTGCTGTGCCCCCAGCCCGCAGAACCTGATCGCGCAGTCGCAGTCCGGTACTGGCAAGACCGCTGCCTTCGTCCTGGCCATGCTCAGCAGGGTTGAGCCTGGGAACAAGTATCCACAGGTAAAGTCTGGGGATGTGGGCGTGTTTCACCCTGGCGGTGCAGTGCCATCTAGTGAAGAGCTGAGCTGCTGGGAGGCCTTCAGATGTAAATCCATGGCTTGATGGAGCCATGGTGACATTTCTTTGAACTGCTTGAAGGGGATGGAGGTTTGGGGATTTATCAAAATGCCTTCAGTGCAAAAGATGTGGATTTTGCTCAAAGCTTGTTCCTGTCGGTCCTTCCTGTGCAGCACACAGGATGCCATTGTTCTGTGAGTGTGTGAAGGGTGAGATAATACAGATGTTATAATTCATGCTGTCACAATCAGAAGCTATTTCTTAATTACAAAACGTTATCAACATTTCTTAGCTTATCTACTTTTATCACACCATACTACAATTACCTTAAAACTAATAATCTCAAATTACTCCTCATAAGTCTTACTACAATATATCTTCCATAGTTCTATTTCTCCAAAATATCTAGTCTTATTTATAAAGTAATTTTTAAAACTTGTTTCTAGTTCCATTTCTCTCAACGTTTTTCCTATTTTATAACATTTTTAAGTCAACATTTCTTACCTCAAAGTTTGCATACAAATATATACTATGTGAATCTTCTATCAAACTTTGAGAATTTTCTATAAATCCATTTCCCACATGTGAGGAGTTAAATCTTTCTGAGAGGACTTAGAGAAATTGTGCAGGCTGAAGGGGGTAAGTGGGTTTGGGGTGGAAGAGAAGGTAACTGTGACAACAGAGCAGCCAATGCCTGGAGAGGGACTTTTAAAATCAGATTTCCTCATGGGATGGTTGAGAAACTGTTCAGCCACTTGCATGTTCATCTTGAAGAAAACTTCAGCAAGGATTTTAAAAAGTAGGTGTGATAGTGTTGCCTTGGATGTTAATCACCTCACTCATTATCCTTCTGTTCCTCCAGTGTTTGTGCCTTTCCCCAACATACGAGCTGGCACTTCAAACAGGAAAAGTGATTGAGCAGATGGGAAACTTCTACCCGGAGCTGAAACTTGCATATGCTGTCCGAGGCAACAAACGTGAGTAAGGGGAAACGCCACAAACAGGAATGAGGGAGTGATGCTCCTCAGGTGCACCAGAGCAGGCAGGTGGTGAAATAGCTTGGTCAGAGAGGGCCAAAACATTTCCCTGTCTGCACAGCCCCCCTAGAGCAGCCCTTCCTTCTGTCTCGGCAGTGGAGAGAGGGCAGAAGATCTCAGAGCAGATTGTAATCGGCACACCTGGCACCGTGCTGGACTGGTGTTCCAAACTGAAGTTCATCGATCCCAAGAAGATCAAGGTGTTCGTGTTGGATGAGGCAGACGTGATGATCGCCACCCAGGGCCACCAGGACCAGAGCATCCGCATTCAGAGGTATGGAGGGACACAGGACAGTGGGGCTGCAGTCAGGACCGGTGTCCTCACCAGTGAAGCAACAGGATTGAAATGACAGATTGGCTTTAGTCCAGGGGGTTCATAGAGGCACAGTGGCAGGGGTTGACAAGCAGTTTCATTTCACAGAATCACCAGGTTGGAACAGATCTACAAGATCATTGAGTCCAAGCCATGCCTTAACACCTCAACTAAACCATGGCACCAAGTGCCATGTCCAGTCTTTTTTTAAACACATCCAGAGATGGTAACTCCAGTTCCAGTACCTGATCACGCTTTCCATAAAAAACTTTTTCCTACTATGCAACCTATATTTCCCTTGACGCAGCTTGAGACTGTGTCCTTTCTTTCTGTCAGTTGCTGTTTGGAGAAAGAGACCAACCCCTACCTGACCACCTTGCAGGGAATTGTAGAGAGTGATAAGGTCACCCCTGAGTCTCCCTTTCTCCAGGCTAAACAGCCCCAGCTCCCTCAGACATTCCTCACAGGGCTTGTGTTCCAAGCCCCTCACCAGCCTTGTTGCCCTTCTCTGGACATGCTCAAACATCTCAACGTCCTTCCCAAACTGAGGGGCCAGAACCAGACACAGTGCTCAGGGTGCAGCCCTGTGCCAAGTACATGGGATGAATGACCTCCCTGCTCCTGCTGGCCACACTATTCCTGACAGAGACCAGGATGTTGTTGGCCTTCTTGGCCACCTTACACAATAAAAATCCTGTCCCTCGAGCAGGGTTTATTCCATTTTAAGAAGATAAGTCTGGATGCCTGCGGTCCGTGAGGGAGTGATCATGGGTGAGTAAGATTGGTTAAAGACTTTCCAGCCACGGAAATAACTGGTTCCAGCATTATGGCTTTTCTTTGCCTGTAGCTTGAATTCCATCAGGATATCAGGAGATCATAGTGTTGTGTGGGAACCCTCCCTATTTCTCTCTCTCTTTCAGAATGCTGCCCAGGGACTGCCAGATGCTCCTGTTTTCAGCCACTTTTGAGGATTCTGTGTGGAAGTTTGCTCAAAAAGTTGTTCCTGACCCAAACATTATCAAACTGAAGCGTGAGGAGGAGACCCTGGACACCATCAAGCAGTATTATGTTCTGTGCAATAACAGAGATGAGAAGTTCCGGGCTCTCTGTAACATCTACGGCGCCATCACCATCGCCCAGGCCATGATCTTCTGCCATGTGAGTGCTTCCAGGGAATGTTAGTCCTAGCGACCCCCTCAGAGCCTGCAGGTGCTAAAACCAAGCCAGACATGGTTTCCAGAAAGGAGCTGAGAACAAAATTGCCCTTTCTGGCTTCTCTGGCTCCTCTTTGAGTGAAATCCTGAAAGCCACGTTAGCGATGGCTGGTTTGATTCCCTGGGTTTGTCCATCCAGGAGACAGCACTGGACTTTTTTATTCCTGAACAGTCACTGTTACCCCTTAAGTCCTCTGAAGCAAAGATCAGAGTAATGAACATTTTTCAAAAACTTTGAACTGCTGGGGAAAAAAAAAAAAAAAAAAAAAAAGTGGGGTTGGAAAATGGATGAAGATAGGGCATAATGAGGGATTGAGAAGTCTTTTGCTTCTCTAGCTGATACAGGGCTGTCCCTGGGACTTCATTTCCCTCAGGTAATTGAGGATACACCTGTGAGATCTCACTGTGAATCATACTGAGACTTGGTTTTCTTTTTCTGAAAGCCACCATGATAATTTTTAGGGAAAAATCAGTGCTGACAGCACAGAACAGCCAGGCAAAGTGAGCTCAGACAGGATGAAAGTGTTTGGAATCCGCTACAGCAGTTTGCTTTTAGGCTGTCTCAAGACATAATTGGAGCTCAGAAAACTGTTTAATTCAAGGCTGTGCAGAGCCTCTATGGGATTTCACAACTACATTCAGGTCTGACTCTGCCATTTTCCAAGCTGAGTAGTTGTGGTTTTGTGACAAGTTTCATGAGTTTTCAGTGTACACATGTAGTGTCAGTCTCCAGCAGAGTGAAATCCAAGGAGCAGAGCACAAAGAAAACATGTCTTATTAATCAGGGGCTCCTGTGGTGCCTGAGGTGTATTGTCCTCCTTCTGATCCAGTTTGTAAGGGAGACAAAAACTGAGCAGCCACAGAGCTTCCAGTGGGCCCCAGAGAGGTTTGTTGTTCTTCCCAGCATTAAAGCCCCCTCGTGACGTGGGGCTGGCTGTGTGTTGCAGACTCGGAAGACGGCGGGGTGGCTGGCGGCGGAGCTGTCCCGGGAGGGCCACCAGGTGGCCTTGCTCAGCGGGGAGATGATGGTGGAGCAGAGAGCTGCCGTGATCGAGCGCTTTCGGGAGGGCAAGGAGAAGGTGCTGGTGACCACAAACGTCTGTGCCAGAGGTAGGATGTGGAGGAATGGGGCCAGGTGATGCCCTAGGATTTTGGCTTTCATATTTTTCATCTATTTGTAATCCTGCCGTTCTTTAGTGCAGAGCTCCAAACTCCGCTGCTGCTCTCCCATTTTGGGCACACACAACAATTCCCCTCCAGGCCTGGCAGTCAAGGACATCTCACTGCCTCAGGCCCCGGGAAATTAAACAAAAGGGAGCTGGGGGAGCAAACTTGGGGTAAATTACTTCATTACCTGAAGCTGTAACAGAAGGATTAACCCCCAATATGCAAACAAACCAAACTTTAAAGTAAAAACTGGCTACTGGTGTAGCCCCTGGGGGAGTTTGTCTGCCCAAAATGTACCTGAAGGCCCTTCAGTAACTACACCCACGTTTTATTCCCTTTATTTTGTCTGGCCTCTGATTGTAGGTAGCCTGAAGAGGCATCACAGGGAGGGCAGCACTGGAAGCAACACTTCCTTAGATAACACTTCCCATTCTTCACAGGAAGAATTTACATCCTCAGGTGTTCCAGCTGGGAGTAATTGGTGTCCTTACACTGTGTGCCTGTGGGTAAACATGGGATTGCTTGTTGGCTTCCTGCTGCTTGAGATGAAAAAGTCCATCCTGTGAGAGTCTGGCACCAAGCCTGCCTTGTGCTGCTGACATTCAGGGTTTGCAGTGAACGTGTGCCCAAGTACAGAAAACTGAAAAATAGTGAAATCCAGTTCACTATCCCAGTAGGAATTCATGGTGTAATTTGACATCCCAGAACAGTTAAGACAGGATCGTACTTGGAAAAAAACAAGTGGTCTTTAAAGATTTGCAGGGAAGGAGAGAGTTTCTGAAATATTTAAGTGCTGGTAGAATTTCCAAAATATTTAAGTGCCTTCGGCTGTTTCAGTGGGGACTCTCTGCCCTAAGAGCTCGATAGATTTTATTTCCACTCTGTGAGGATTTTGTGGAAAAGCTCCATTTCAGAGGGTGAGTATTGTTCCTGCTCCAGAAAGATGTAAGTGAAGTTGTGTAACCCAATGCTTTCTTTTTGTCAGGGATTGATGTAGAGCAGGTCTCCGTTGTTATCAATTTTGACTTGCCTGTGGATAAGGATGGAAACCCAGACAACGAGACCTACCTGCACCGCATCGGCCGCACCGGCCGCTTTGGCAAGCGAGGGCTGGCCATTAACATGGTGGACAGCAAGCACAGCATGAACATTCTCAACAGAATCCAGGAACATTTCAGTACGTACCCTCAGCTTTCTCCTTTCTCTAAACTGTTGAATCACTGCAGAATTTGACTTGTTGGATGCTGAGCAGGTCTAAGGGTGTTTGTTGAGCCTTAAATGGGTGGCAGAGGAGCCCAGCAGGAGTGTTTGGTGTAGCATCACTTGGGATTGTGACCTGCTGCCTGTGACAGGAGCAGAATAAATCAAGCTGTGTTTGCTGTCTGCCTGCATAGTCCTTGAATATCCAGGATTTTCCAGAGGTGGTGGGTAACACTGCAGTACCCAGATGGGTCTTTGATAAAAGGAAACAGTTTTAATTTTTATTTTGACTGAACATTCCCTGATAAACCAGAACTCAGGTCCAGCTGAGGAGAACAGTTCCCTTCTCTGCTCAGTGTTACAAAATCTGACCTATTTATCTTCTTTCCCAGACAAAAAGATAAATAAATTGGATACTGATGACTTGGATGAAATTGAGAAGATAAATAACTGAAATAGCTGCTGGAACTGGTATGTGCCCTGCTGTGGAAGCTCTCCCACTACAATTGGATCAGCGTTTGGATTGGCACAGCCTCTCAGCTCGTCCTGAACAGGACTCCAAGATATGAGTACACAAAAATTACCTCATTTTCAAAATTGCAGTTGGACTTCAAATTGTGCAACTATGGGGAGGAAGAGGAAATGTTTACAGAAGCTTTTAACATTTCTTAGTTTAGCCTTAAAATTGGATGATCTTTGGAATTCTGAGAAATACACTTGCCAAAAGAGAGGCAATAGGGAATTATCTAAAATTGTAAAAGAAAAAAACCCCATGATTGTCTTCAATTGGAATAATGTGCAGCATTAACCTGATCAGTTTAAATTCAACAGCTGAATACATAATGGACACAAGGAAAGGAAAAAAAAAAAAGAAAACCTAAAAACCCCAAACAAGGCAGCTGGTTTTTGGCTAAATACTTGTACAAACTAGGATGTCGTTCTCTTTGGCTCTCCCCTGAGCTCTTTAAGACTCATTTCTGGCTTTCTGATGGATTTGCCCTGCTTTTCCCTACATAAATTGTTCTGAGGATGTCTCCAGTAGCTCCTACTCGCAAACATAGGTGCCGTGTCGCTTTGCTGGGCAGTATTTTCTTTTCCTTTGTCCTGGAATTTTTGGGATGGCCGCTCTCCGTGACATGGGTGGTGGTGACGCTACAGGAGTTCATCCCAAGTGTTTAACCTGGCTGTGGTGTGGGTGGGTGGGGTGGGAGGGGCAGTATGAAGGGAACTGTACTAATGGATTGCCTGATTAAATTCACCTCTGTGAATGAAATTCACCCTGTGATTAAATACACCGTGCTGTGAAGCTCAGCACGGGTAATGTACAGAGCTGTTGAGCTTCACCCATCACGTACAGGATTAAAAGATAGCCTGGATTGACCAAAACAATGTACCCTTAGAACACCAAATTCACCTGTTGCAGTACGTTTCGGTAGCAGAGTCTGAGTTACATTGCTCAGCCAAATTGCAGGTGGGAGGTGCTCCATAGTGTAAAATAGGTTGTTGGTCCCTGCCCCGGGGTGTTCCATGGAGAAGGAAGGATTCACAGCTCCTGGAGTGTTGACGCCTCCTGTGTGTTGGGACCACTCTTGTGCACACAGCTGGACACTGGGGGCTGTTCCCCCAGCCCAGTCTCCAGGAGAAGGAGGCTCCTGAACCAGGACTTAGGGTGCACAGCTCTTTGTTGGGGGGAAATGGGACGTGCGTGAGCAGCCATGGGCCTGCTACTCAGCATGGGAATCATGTCAAGACAAATGTATAAACTGTAAATTTAAACTGAAGTGTTTTCTTTGCAATTTTGGCCATCATATTCTGTTCAAAGACAGGAATATGGATCCTTTTACCAAGTAAAAAAAGGCTCATTTAAAATGTACCTAAAATTTTAGGAAATTGTGCACCCTTTTATCAATTTGTATAAAGGCTTTAGTGAAGAAAAAAAAACAGCTTAAAATTAAACTTTTTGTATTCTGGGGTGTATCTATTTTTATTCTGTTGGAATCCTATTTAAAGTGGCAGGTGAGTGAGTGCTTGCGTGTGGAGTGGAAGACTTGATTTAATCACCTACTTTCCTGGTACAGTTGAATGACCTGGTGACAGCAGAGTATTGGGTTCAATTGTCATGGAAGCTGCTGCTGGTCCTGTGTGCTGTTTCTAATGTACTTTTAATTGGAATTAAAGAACACATACTGAACAATCCCTTTGCTGACTTCTTGCTTCAAAACTTTGTTGGTGTTTAAAAGCCTCAGTAAGGACATTCTCAGTCAAAAGTCCTGATAAGTTTTGTATTTGTGACAGAATGAATTTTAATGCTGAAATTCTTAAAAGATCCCCACAAAGAAGTTTGTTAAATGATGCCACACAATAAATGAAGTCAGATAAATGTTGTTCTTCCCCCATGCTTCTTGTGCTGGAACTTACAATTGCTGCTAAAATCTTCCCGGAACAGTTCTGAAGGGAAGAGAAGGAGAACTGAGGGAGAAAAGAGGTGTTTTCCCTGCACTGTGCTTGCCTAGATCAAGACTTGATGTTTTTTGCCCATCTTTGGAGATGCTGTAGCCTGGGTGAGGTGATTAGAAGCAAACTCAGCTTTATCAGGAGGAACATCCTGCAGCATGAGAAACTCACTGTGAACTGTCTGTTCTGTTCTTGCTCAGAGCCCCCGTGCTCTCACAGCTGCCTGGTGGTGCCCGGCTCTGTCACAGCTTGGCACTGATGAGAAGTGCTTCCTCCTTGGCTGCAAGCTTGTGTTGAGCACAGGACACAGACAGAAACGTCAGGAAGGTGGTGTGGAGGGCAGGTGACCATCCAAAGGCTGAGTTGGGCAGCCCCTGAGGTATTTTCCATCAAATTAAAGGTTTCTTAAGAGCAGGAGTGAAGGATAAACTTCAGCTCATGTAAATCATTTGAAGTTCAAGTTTCAGCCTAAAAGGTTTTATTTAACACAGGATGGGAACACTCTGAAATGTAGGGGTAACACAGTATACACAACAGGCAGAAATAAGGAATTAACCACCTAACACTGAAGGAAACATGGAAAATAGTCCCTTTTCCTGAAACCAAGTGAAATACCTTGTGGTTCTGTTGAAGGCATCCACGTGTTTTGGTGTCTGGGACTGCTGCTGAGTGATTCCCATCACCAACAGCAGCAGGGACCCTGTTCTGTCAGATACTGGTTTTACAAAGCTGCTGGGCTCTGAACATTGATTTAGCATCAGGTGCCACACTCACAGCCAGCACCAGCAATCAGCTTTCTGCTCCTGCTGTGTTTGTGCTCCTGTGCCAAGTTGCTTTGGCACTTACACTGAGCTTCAAAGCAAATTTGGTTTGCCTCAAAACGTTTAAACTCACTCATCTGTGTGGCAAGTGGTCCATTGTTAAAGATTAAAAATTACTGCCTTTGAAATTCCATTAGAAATAGAAGATATTTCTCTTTTTTAGCACAAGCACATTGTATTTGCCTAATCCTGCTAAGTCACCCAACCAGCCTTTTAATGATGGTTAAGTAAAAGATGGCTCACTCCTTCAGCCAATTCCCATTAATACCTTATTTAAAAATTCCCAAAACAGCACTTGCTTCTTGGACTAAGTTCAGTGTAGAGGGGTTAATTGGAATTATCTGTAACGTCCCTTAACTATCCATCTCTTCTTACCTGTGGACCACATGAGCCAAATAAGAGAAGGAAAACCAAGGAGAAAATCCTGTTGCTCCCCAAGATAGCCAAAATAATAATTCTTTGTTCTTAAAAATATGATTTAGTCACAGTTAAGAGCTGGACTGAGGTTACCCAGAAAAACCTGAGCCCTCACAGGTATTTTACAATCAGTCTTGCAATGTAATACTTTACAATAACTCATTTGTGTGTTATTACTGTTATTTCCAGATGTGTTTGGAGTTTGATCTCCTTTTCAGTCTCTTGAGAAGACGTTTAGGCTAATGATAAGCTACTGGAGGTGGTCCTGTAGCTAAACCAGTTCTGTGTCTACCTTCCAAATGGTGCTTCTGCACCCAGAGAAGTGGTACCTTCCCAAAACACAGAAAAGGACAAGGGGAGAAGTCTTGGAAACCTGAGTTTTCAAAGAACATCAGCAACTTCAACAAACCAGAAAGGTTGAAGGTTGGTGGTGCTGAGGCAGAAATTTGTGATGGCACAGGCTGTTCTGTATGAACCAGGTTTATGCACCTGAAAGAACTATTCTCTGAAATACTATTTCAAGTACTATTACATATCCGTAACTCTGCTGGATGGGGATTTTGTGGGAGATAAAAGATTAAGAAGAAACGTGCTGGAAGCATCAGATTCAGTTTTTTGGAAGAAGCAATGCACCCCACTGAGCAGAAGGATCCACGGTGTCTCTGTGTGCCTAAAGATCTGCTGCACCGTGCTGCTCGTCCTGCCGGATGCACAGCACGGACTTGGGGGGGATCCCACACTCCTGCAGGGACTTTGTAAGGTCAGAGAAGCTCCTCCGGGGCACCTCCATGGTTTCAACGCTGCAGTGTTGGTAACTGGCCAGCAGTTTCTGTCCTGCCACGGCAAGGACTGTCTGGAGGCTGTCACGGGGCTTGAAGAGGTGCTCAAACCTCCGCCCGGAGGGAGATCGGACAGCGAGCAGCACGTGCGGCTCTTCCAGGCTCTCCTGCCTCGCTTGCCCTCCCCACTGCTCGGGGGCACAGGGCACGTGTGAGCTCTCTTCAGTGGGAATGCCGCTTCCTGACAGCGCGCTGGCAAATTCCTGTCCTTCAGACAAAGTCTGGATGGTTTTTGGAGCATCCTCCTGCCCCTCGCTCACTTCCAGCCGGTTGGTCCGTTCAGTCAACGCTTCCACGGCGCTGCCCCCTGCGCCCTTCGGGCTGATGGAGGGGAGCACCCGGTACTTGTTCAGGGAGGAGGAGCTCTTCAAAGGCACTTGCTGCAGGAGCTTTGGGATTTCCTCAGGAGACACCTGGGCAGGTGGGAAGGCCGCTTTGCTGAGCGGTGCTCTGCGGCTCTTCACTAATTCCCGAGGAGAGGCTGCTGGCGGGGAAGGTGGCACGTGGCACGGACAGGCTTCCGTGCCCTGACGGTGGCTCAAGCTTGGCCTCTGTCCCTTGGCAGATTTGGGCCTGGAGACGTGCATGGTGATGGTGCTGGCCCACGGCAGGGGGGCTGTGCCCAGGGGGAAGCAGAGCTGAGCTGGTGCCGAGTCCTGGAAAGCCGCTGTGGCCATCGCACCTGTGGGCAGAGAGCAGAGGGAGAAGTTTCAGAAACTGGCCGGGAGACTTCAGGCTCCCACACCGTGCTGCACATCAGGAAATGACAGAACAAAAGTGTGGTGTCACTGCATGGGCATCACATGGGAACCACTGCAACCCTGCGCTGCAGTAAGGGCTGAGTCCCAGAGGTGACAGGTGGGTTATTTGTAGGGACTGGCTCTGGCAGGAATTGTGTGAAGTTGACCCAGAGCTTTGGGGAGTTGTGCCTTTCGCCACTGACTCTAAGTTTTTGATGGAAGGAACAATTTCTTTCTTCTGAAGCTGGAAACTCAGAGCAAATGGGAGATGAGTGAAGCTCAGAGCACAGCTCTGGTATTTTCACTATTCCTGCAGTGGCAGATTCAGTTCCTGTTTTAGATTTTGGGATAAGACTGACTTCACTTCATATTTTAAAGGTATTTCAAGACCACTGAGACTGAAAAAACCCTGATTCAATACACAGAAACCTGTTCTGACTCTCCAGTGACCAAAAGCTGCTTAACAGAGAATGATTTACCTGATGGAATGGCTGGAGCTCTGGCAGGGGGTTTAGGTGGATATCAGGAAAGGTTCATCCCCCATAGTGCTGGGCACTGCCCAGGCTCCCCAGGGAATGGGCACAGCCCCGAGGCTGCCAGAGCTCCAGGAGCCTTTGGACAAGGCTCCCAGGGATGCCCAGGGTGGGATTGTTGGGGTGTGTGCAGGGCCAGGAGTTGGACTGGATGATCCTGGTGGATCCCTTCCAGCTCAGGATATTCCATGATTCTGTCATACAACCTCCACTGAGGGGGAAGCCACGTTCTGCTGCATGTTTCCCAAAGGAAGCTGTGCTTGGAGCTCTCAGCTATGCCAGGACACACAGCCCAGCCACTGGGTCACAACCTCACAATGTTTTGGAGAAGTGCCACAGGGAACCTCCTCTTCTGTTCCTGTGGGGTTTGTGACAGCATTTACCAAGGGGGGAAAAGGTGCTTGGCATTCTCCAGAAATGGCACAGTCACACTCAGCTGCTGTTTGGCACCCCAGCAGCGCATTGCTCCATGCAAACCTCATGGAGTGCAGCAAAGCCAAGGGCGTGGGGCCATCCCAGGCACACCTGGGGGAGGAGGGAGGAAGAGCAGCTCTGGGAGAAGAACGACCTGCAGAGCTGCCCCGGCCCTGGGGCCCAGCACAGGAAGGATGTGGAGCTGCTGGAGAGAGTCCAGAGGAGGCACCAGGATAGCAGAGGGGGGGAGGGAGCAGCTCCAGTGTGAGGAAAGGCTGGGAGAACTGGGATTGTTCAGCCTGGAGAACAGAAGGCTCCAGGGTGACCTAACTGTGAAGGAGCCAACAGGAAAGATGGAGAGAGACTGTGGGCAAGGGCCTGGAGTGCAGGACAAGGGGAAATGGCTCCCACTGCCAGAGGACAGGGTTAGGTGGGATCTTGGGATGAAATTCTTCCCTGTGAGGGTGGGCAGGCCCTGGCACAGGGTGCCCAGAGCAGCTGTGGCTGCCCCTGGATCCCTGGCAGTGCCCAAGGCCAGGCTGGACAGGGCTGGGAGCAGCCTGGGACAGTGGAAGGTGTCCCTGCCCATGGCAGGGGTGGAACAAGATGATCTTTGAGTTCCCTTCCAACCCAAACTCTTCTGGGATTCTATTCTAAACCAAACAGAGAGAACAGCCCCTGTGGCACTTTGCCAGGGGTGTGATTGTTATTTAACATTTCATTTCTCCTCCAGCTCAGCACGGCCAAGGCAGAGTCCCAGCACGCCCTGGCAGCCCAGCTGGCAGACGTGTCCCTCCCGAGCCTCCAGGCGACAGGGACACTCCCCAGGTGGCCCATCCCAGCTTCCCGGGAACCTGTGGGAGATCCAGGGGCCGTACCTCCCCCTTACTGCCGCTAACAAATAAACTCCAAGGCAACAACGCATTGAGGCAGAACTCCCAAGCGCATGGGAGCATTTAGAAATATCCCCGAGACGCTGCCACTCCCAGGGATGAACCCCCAGCCAAGCAAGCTGGCAGAAGCCCTGGCGGGGCTCTCCGCGAGTGTCTGCACCGCCCCAGCCCGGCAGATGCGAGAGGGGAGAGGCTGAAGCAGGGGCTCTGCGGAGGGGCGGGATGGGGAACCACGGCCTCGAGGGCTGTGCCCGCAGAGCCCGC